TATAGAACACTTGTATATTTAAAAAAAAAAAATACATATGTAAATACCATAACTAAACCTCAACTTTAATAATAATGAAATTCTGCGCTAGCTAGCTAAATTATTCAGCGACTGGCACAACGTTTGCAACGCCATTAGCAGACACAACCACGTCGTCTTGCTCTACTGCGGGCGCACCTTTTGTTTCAACTGCATTCGCTGCGGCCTCGGCAGCTGCAGCAGCCGCAGCCTCCTTAGCCTTCTCGTACTTGTTGACTTCTGCAATGCGTAACGTAAATATTATTGATAAGCCTTTACTCAGCATGCAAATAAGCGACTTACCGAACTTGCTGATGTCAGCACCTAATAAGCGCAGCACATGCACGGTCTCATTACTGTCCACATAAGCACGCAAGCTGGAGGAACCGCGCCAGCCCACCAGGAATAGCGTGAAACGCGCGTCTTCGTACTTCAAAATGCAACTGCCAACGCCTGCAACAAATAATATGAATCTATTAAGACGAACCAAGCATCCATTGTAATTTACATGAGTTACATACCTAATTCCTTGCAACGTTCTTGCGTTTCCGCCACCAAATCCAGCGTTGAAGGCGGCTTTGTTGGGTCTGTGCAATTGAGTAGCAGTATTAAATCTTCCCTAGAGATTTGTATGCGCCGTATGGCGCCCATAAATGCATTCGTCGTCTGCAAACCCTCCTGCGCCAAGCGGAAGGGATGCATTGTATGACGATTCTCACAGCGCACAAATGCCTTCACACCAGTATTTATAATCTTAATGGTATCTTCATTCAACAATACCATATCACGTATTGGCTCCGAGCAGTAGTAGATGTTCTTCTTCTTATCGGTGACACAGCGTGTAAGCAAGCAGCGCTTATTTAGCGTGTCGTCGAGCGCAAAGAAGGATTTCAACTCATCCCAATCGGCATCTTCTTCCTCGAAGAATATGTATGGATCTTCCTTATAGCCATGCAGGCGTCGGCGTTTGCGTTGTGGTCCCCATGGCACTGACTTCTCTTCGATAGGCTGGCCGTTTTCATCCAATTTAACTTCCGGTTTGGGCTTTTCAAGCAGCGTCGGCATGTCATTCTTTTCGAAGGGCAATTGGCGGCGCTTTTCAATGACCGCAACAAAGAAACCACCAGAGTTTTGCAAATGCGGCAGCACACGTAAGCATTTCTCCAAACCGATCTTCGAGATTTGCTCCGTCGGCAATGGAAACATATTCGGGCGTATGACCGTGTGATATTTCTCAGGCACCTCCTCGAAACTTGTGAATATTTCATCGACTTGCTTGGTAGCGAGCTTCCAACTCGTCATGCCCGGTTTAAATTTCAAGCCGGGCACCAAATGTGCGGCGTCTACTATCTCTAGCGCACCATCAGCGTCAGCTATAATACGCTGCAGCACAGCTTCATTTTCAATGGGATTTAGCGAGCATGTGGAGTACACCAAACGACCGCCGACATTGAGCATTTCAGCGCCACGCCTTGTTATGCGGTACTGTATGCTAAAAAATGTGTATTTTAAATTTTCGTGTAACTTCGAAAAATTATTTTCCAAGCTTACCCATGCAAGTTGTAAGCCTGCGCCAAATTCCATTTCGTCCAGATATCTGGGTTCTTGCGTAGTGTGCCATCCCCTGAGCATGGCACATCACATAGAATCTTATCAAACTTCAAAATTGATTTACTGCCATCTGCGCCCGTTTGCTGAAAACAAGAAATATTGATATACATACATATTCATTATTTTTTTATTATATTAGTTTATTTTTGTACTTTTCATTCCACTTACCAACAAATTTGGATAGAAACTGCTGTCATGATTTGTCACCAGAAAGCATGGCGAATTCAATCTTTTCGCCTGATGCACCAACATATAACACCGATTGTTATCCACATCGTTGGCTACGACGAAACCCGGTGGTATCTTATGCTTTTCCGGCGCACTATGTAGCGCTTCAATCAATTGTGCCGTCTTTGAGCCTGGCGCAGCGCACATATCTAGCACTTTATCGGTGGGTTGCACATCTAACACAAGTGGCGGTATCATAGACACAGCTTCCTGACGACTTATGCTGCCGGCATTCGTTTCGGTTATCAGAAAATTGTGCAAACGGAACAGCGGTTCCGAGCGGCGTATATCTTTACGCGTTAATTGCAGTTGGTATGCCAAGCCATCTGGATACCAGGGTAGACGTTGTGGGCGCTCCACCTCTTCTTTCGCAATACCATGCAATTCAGCGACACTGCTCACATAATCAGCAAACAAGTCGCTCTCGATTATGTCAAGCAATGCTTTTGCCTCACCACGAAAGCCGGTTACACGGAATGTAACAGGTAAATTATCACGTATCTTAGCAAGAAATTCTTGCCATTCCGCTTCGTCCGCACATATATTTTGCAGCTGATAGTACTTAATGAAAGCTTCATTATCACGTTTGATATCCTCATAAGGCTCTTGGCGTATTGGTCGTGGATCGACTCCTTGCTATTTAACGAGATTTAATTCTATTGTAAGGGCCAACTCGAAATCAATAGTTTACTTACGTTCTCACGCTTTTGACGTTTTTTCGCTGCAAAAGGATTTGATTTTCTGTTACGACCCATTTTCTTTAAATGGGAAATGCTTTATATTTTGTTAATAATATATAGTATTTAAAAAAATTGTTTTAAAATTGGTTTGCTTCAAAACCAAGAGATTGAACCGTGAGCGGAGAAAACGTAAACACGTGTCTATTAAATGAAGGCATCTCTGTCGTTTCTCACAGCTGTTAAGTGGGGTGATGCCGGAGTAGCTATTATCAAAAATAAATGAAAAATTGCTTTTAATTTTAAAAGAAGTGTAGTGTTATTAAAAGGGTGATAAATTACCCCCATTTTGTTTATAATATTGACATGTGTTTAAATATGCAAGTGTGTTTAAAATAAATATAGTAAAGTTATTTGATAATTTTCAAGACACAGCTGCTGGTTTACTGTTGTGAATGGTCAACTAAAAAATAAGAAGCATTGTGAAAACTTAAGTAAAATTGTAAACAAACTGTTTTTAAATTCATATAAACAATTGGACTCTACGTTTTTAAGGATGAAAATAACACAAAAAATAGAGTTCGATGAAGATGTATCATCGATTTGTGAGTCCACGGTGAGTAAATGTGGCAACAAAATAATAAACATCACAGCGAACGAGTGATGGATGCAAATGGCCACGAACTTCTGTATTACTGAATTTGTATGTAGAATGAAGGTGCTACATGGCTTATTTTTAAATTTTAGGCCGCACTTACCGAAGGATGCCGATTACCCGTGCGTATGCACAAGACTGAGGATTGGCCACTCGCGGAAGTTGTGAGCATTAAAGACCATGATGGCAAGCGACAGTTCTACGTGCATTACGTCGATTGTAATGAAATAATGCAATAATGAATAACAACGTGCGCAGTTTACTAAATAATACATATATGTTTCAGTTAATAAACGCCTTGATGAATGGGTTACAGAGGAGGACGTTGATACACGCAAAGTGCAATTTCCAAGGCGTGATGGTACGCAGACCGGTGCCAGCACTGGTGTAACTACACCAAAAAAACATCACTCGTCGGTGCCAGGTAGCGTTTCAAGACCTACTTCGCCACAACCTGTTGTAAGCAATGAAATGGTTAATGGTAACGCTGTGCTGGCGGCTGCACTACAGAAAAAAATTAACCGAAAAAGAAAGGTGCTAACCAAAAATTAATAAGCTTCAAATTAACGGTATACGATATTTTTAATATAGTTCAATGCTGTGCCTGCCCCACCGGCAGTAGTAGTGCCTGAGACCCCTCAGCCTGTTATAGTACCCGCACCAGTAATACCAGCTGTAGTAGTACCCACAACTCCGGTACCCGTAACTGTGGTTGAAGAGGCTTCACAAGATGGTAAAACCGCAACACCACGCCAGTCTGGTAGCATGGTCATACATCAGGATGATGTAGTGACGCGTATGAAAAATGTTGAAATGATAGAATTGGGTAAACATCGCATTAAACCCTGGTATTTCTCACCGTACCCGCAGGTAATAAATTTGCTTACATTTTGGCATAAAGCAAAGCAAATAACACTTTTCGATTAGGAATTATGTCAAATGCCTTGTATCTACATCTGTGAGTTTTGCCTGAAATATCGTAAAAGTCGTAAATGTTTGGAGCGGCATTTAGTCAAATGTAATCTCCGGCATCCACCCGGTAATGAAATATATCGCAAACACACAATTTCTTTTTTCGAAATTGACGGTCGTAAAAACAAAGTGTATGCGCAGAATTTATGTCTGCTGGCCAAACTGTTTCTAGATCATAAAACACTTTATTATGATACGGATCCATTCCTTTTCTATGTTATGACTGAATTCGATTCACGCGGTTTTCATATAGTCGGCTATTTCTCAAAAGAAAAAGAAAGTACTGAAGACTACAACGTAGCTTGTATACTGACTATGCCTCCATATCAGCGCAAAGGTTACGGCAAGCTGTTAATTGAATTTAGCTACGAACTGTCGAAGTTTGAGGGTAAAACTGGTTCGCCGGAAAAACCTTTATCAGATTTAGGTCTACTGTCGTATCGTTCATATTGGGCACAAACGATTTTGGAGATATTTATTAGCCAAAAGCCAAACAGTGATGGCGAAAAACCCACCATTACCATCAAGTATGAACAAAATTTCTTAGTGTTTTACATAAATTATATTTATTTATCTCTCCCAGCGATATCTGTGAATGCACTTCCATCAAAAAAGAGGATGTTATTTCTACATTACAAAATTTAAATCTTATCAACTATTATAAGGGACAGTATATCGTTTGTATAAGTCGCGACATCATTGATCAACATAAGAAAGCCATGGATAAACGCAAAATACGCATTGACTCGAAATGCCTACATTGGACGCCTAAAGATTGGTCTAAGCGCTCCAAGTGGTAAATCTTAAGCATACTAAATTTCAATTTAAAATTTCTTTAGTTAGTACAAACATTACGATACATATATATACAAATAATTTTAAACAAAAATACTGAATTCAACCATATGCGCTTTTGTTACCCTAATACCAAATTATATGATGATTTTCCCCGCCTTTATTTATTCTCTTTTCCGCTCCACCGATAAAAATGATAGAAACTATGATTGAAATGCGCACGTTCAAAATGTCATCCTTCCACCAATCCAACATACCATGCTAATCAGCACGCTACTAATAAAGTGCAGCCATCGAATTACTATTCGGTGGTTAAATAATGCAGTTTCGATGTGTTTTAATTTCAACTTCTATTGCCAACTTCATCAACAAAGTAGTCAAGACTTTGCAGTGTAGCCGTCTCAATAGTGGCCTCCACAGTTTCGGTTGAGGATTGTACTGCTCGTATAGTTGCTTTACTTTCGGCTAATTCGCGGCTTAATTGTTTCAATTTCTCGTGTACTTCGCAAGCTTCCAACTTATCGTTGCACTCTTTGACTGCCTTTTCACTAATCGTTTCCACAACATCACCAGTAGCCAATTTTTGTGTAATAGCTAATATATCTTTATCCGCGGCAGCTATTTTATCAAAAGGCAAATGGTTATCAGCTAACAGCGCACAACGAGTTGCTGCCAATGTTGTGAGTTTCACATATTTAGCGTACAATTGTAAATATTCCTCCTTAACTTCCAAGTACTGTCGTGTTTTTTCGTCCACTTGGCGCTTAATGTTAAGCTCATCGTCCCGAAAGCGACGTAAAGTTTCTAAATAGAGTAGATATTGTATATCCTCTGTGCCGCTGGCAGAGCCGTTCGGCGATATGGAGCACACACTCGTGGAGGATGTAGGAGTTGTGGTATTCGCAGACATTTAGCTGGATGTATATTTAAAATGTATCAGTTTAATTAAAAATCACTCCAAAAATTAAGCGGCCCGTTCAATTTACCGTATGCTTTTTCTATTAGATAATTCTTCTTCTTCCATTTTTACAATCACAAAGAGCTTTACTACAACCAAAGTGTTTTATATAGCAAATCCAATTTAATTTGCACAAAAGATTGAACTTAATTTTGGTAAATGTTTAGGAGAGCGGCTTTTCCGAAAACATGCACCATTTTTTATGTTTTAATAAATACAAATATAAATCGCAAAATAAAGTGTAATTTCATCAGCAATTATTAAACATTGTATAACTAATATTTCTCAACGTATTATTCAACACTGTGTTTTATACTTTCCGTACGCTTCCCAAGAAAACATTTGACAGCAAGTTTTGTCATTTTGTGTTGACGTTTCTTTTTCACACAATTTTCGCTGTTTAACTCGTGGCGTGTGTATTCTCTGATTTTTGTGCTTAAATATTGGCAAAAAGGTGAAATTATTGATTGATTTGTTTAATTTCACAATAATCGTTCATTAATCTCAACTTTCGTCGATCTAGATGCCTGGTGTTGACACTATTAAATCCTCTTGGGCCGATGAGGTGGAGCTCGACTACGGCGGCCTGCCACCTACCACAGAGATAGTTGAAAACGGCTACAAATACGTCACAGAATATAAGTACAACAAAGATGACAAAAAGACAAAAGTTGTGCGCACCTATAAAATTTCCAAGCAAGTCGTGCCGAAAACCGTAGCCAAACGACGCACCTGGCCGAAATTTGGTGACTCAAAGAACGACAAACCCGGTCCAAACTCACATACCACTATGGTGTCGGAAGAAATTTTCATGCAGTTCCTCAACTCCAAAGAAGAAGAGAAGGCCAACGACCCACTACTCGATCCCTCTAAGAATATTGCCAAGTGTCGTATTTGCAATGGTGAGCATTGGTCAGTTAATTGCCCATATAAGGGTACCGCCATGGATACAAACTTAATGGAGAAGAAAGCGGCTGCCGCTGCAACAGCTGTGGTCGAAGCACCCAAAACTGGCAAGTATGTGCCACCATACCTTAAGGACAGTCAAAAAGGTGGTATGGGCATGCGTGGACGTGATGATACTGCCGCTATCCGCATTTCCAATTTGTCGGAATCGATGACCGAAGCCGATTTGGATGAGCTGGTGAAGAAAATTGGACAACACAGTAAAATGTATTTGGCGCGCGATAAGAATACTGGTCTCTGCAAAGGGTTTGCGTATGTGCATTTCAAGCAACGCAAGGATGCCGCTGCTGCTATTGAAATTCTCAATGGTCACGGTTATGATCATTTGATTTTGAATGTGGAATGGTCGAAGCCGCAAAACAACTGATCGACGCTGTCGAAAGGTGCAAGAGCAACATGAACGTAGCAGCAGCAACATTAAAATAATTTTATAATATAAATAAAAAATATGGCATATATATACGAGTATATTTAAAATTTCATGCGGGCTTTTACAGTAGGCGTTAACTATTGCAAAGGCATAACCGAAAGATCAAATAAATAATCTAAAAATATGTAAAAACTAAATGTTACAGTGCTCCCTATTTGTGTGAATTACGAAAATATTTATTATTATAATGATTGAGTAGGTGTGTTTAATGTACGGGTCGACTTACATCCGCCAAAACGGTTTGCAAATTATCAGCCAAATGTGTCGGCACCACAAAGGAACTATAGGCCGCGCCGGTGGGCATAGGTGCCTTCAACACCCATTTATCTGTGTCCACATTATATTCCTCTACACAGTTTACGCCTTCGCCATTTTTCGTACCTCCTAAAGCCAGTAGATGATAATTGAATACGATCGCACTAATGCGACTGCGTGCCGTTGTCAGCGAACAAACCTAAAAAAAGCCAGTTTATAACTTATAAAGACAAAAAAATTCTGCAAATACAAACTTTAGTCCACTCATTTTTTACGGGATTAAAACGCTCGACTGTGTCCAGTGGTGAATCATTGTAACCACCCAAGACATAAATGTAGCCATGAGCGACCGCGGCCTGGAAGTTTTTATTATGTAACATATAGCTGAAGGAATTCACTGTAGGTGACTTACACCAGGAGAAGCACGCGCTTCTATCATACATGCGCGTGCTTCCCATGTATCCATCATTGGATCATAACACTCGACCGAGTTGAGCGCGCATTCGTTCTCTGAGCCGCCCATAACATAGATGCGCTCATCGAACACTACGGCCTTTGCACAGTAGCGGCCTTCTAACATCGGTGCTACACGCAGCCAATCGCCGGTGCGCATATCGAACCTTTTAAGAGTAGGCAATAATGTTAGATTTCTTGATATTTTTTGTTTATTAATTTATTATGAATTTTTTTTTTATAAACATCGTTTTCTCTTCTATTTTTTTTTTGTTTTATTTTTTCCAAAGTTAAACTCCT